TTTAATGAAACTGCAGAAGAGGGAAGAGTAAATACGTCTGATGCCGGGTTGAGAGGTGGGGACAGGGAATATTCTTTGAATTATTAAATACTTCTTTTTGACCCATGTCAGCCGCCATCTATTTATTTTCCGTTAAAACAGTGAAAACTATATGTGGGCTATAATTCGATTACAACATTTTCTTAAGTACTGCCTTCTCTTTAACCATAGACATAGTTGAATTGTGAAGAAATGTGGAAACGCGCGTTTTAACACTTCATGACAAACGCCTAGAAAATGCGACACTGCTGTGAAATATATATCTTGGGGAGGTCTTTTCTTACTGTGTTGAAAATGTGCAACATGACTCGTCAAGAAAGTTAATAGAAAATCAGAAATTGTTACAAAATGCATTGTTTTGGCCGAATCTATTTCAGGAATACTTAAAAACATCAAAAGAAATGTGTGTGCAGACGTGAATCGAAGTATGAGCTGGGGAATAAGATTGAATACCCTTAGTCGATCATCTTTTTTTGGCTCTCTTCATTATCATTATTGCTACCAATATATTTTAAAGTAAATACATTGCCTTTGTTCTTTAGGAATCTTTCAAAACGTAGTACGAAACTATAACTTGCAGTATTTGTGAACTCCAGAGGAGGATCCATAAAGAATTTCAAATTTTAAAAACTTCTATTAATTACAGGAATATTCCTTTGGATGTGATTCTTATGTGGGAATATTTTTTTTTAACTCAAAGGGACCTCACTTAATGATAATGTTCTCAACAAACGCTAATTTCTTATTTTTATTGTGCTATAAAATGCTCTTGCTTAGTTTTCAAAAACCGAGTTTTTAAAATTTAAATTGCTAAATTCTACCTCCACTAAATATCTCTTCTTTGAAGAAAACATTTTTGCGTCACCATCGTAGAAGTCTGGATGTGATTTAACTTTATAAGCAGTTCTTGTTTATTAAATAGTGTACGTACAGTAGTGAGTCGAATCCATTCAGCCTTTCTTTGTGTTTCAACTGTAAATCGTATTCTTCCAAGTGCAAGAATAGATTCTTCAATATATGTAATGGTGATTGACATAGTCAATAAAAAAGTTAAATATTGGAATTATAAAAACAAAATTATTTAATAGTTCATGTACTGAATGTATACAGTGTATATATATGTGTATATATGTATGTATATGTATATATATGTATATGTATATGTATATATATGTATATGTATATGTATATATATG